GTAACCAAATCAGGCATAACCTACACAGGCCATCCTACTGCTGACTAAACAGTCCTAGCATACAGCTCATACGACAGGCATATAAGGCATCCTCCTAGATCCTTAGCCCTATTCTAGCATGCAGTTTCTAAATCAAAACCATATAGCATAATATAACAAGTATGTGTATCTTGGGTAAAACTTACTTGAGCTCGGCCGGTCGCGTACATCACACACTTGCTCTTTCTCAAAAACCCTTTTACTTAGCCTTTAGAAAATCATTTCTTTATAAAAATCTTTTAATCCCTCGATTTGAGTCCAGACACCCCCGAAGGTGTGTCCGAATCCCTCAAACCAGGGCTCTGATACCAACTTGTAACGTCCCAATTTCCGAGGCCAAAAATTTCATTTTTAAATAAGTTATTACATAAATCATCAGTTATAAAAACATTCATAATAATATCTCGTGTCAAGCCAAAGTGTCAATAATCAAAACATATTATCATAAAACTCTATCAGAGTGTGATCCCCAAGATCTCATGTGTGGAAAACATAGTGTGATGCGCTACGATCGAGCCGGCTCCTTTCCTTGAAAACAAAGTACCTGAAACCAAAACTGAAAACCGTAAGCACGAAGCTTAGTGAGTTCCCCAGATACCACATACCATACAAACCAACTGATTCATACATGTCATACATAGGCAAGAGCCATACATGTCATACATAGCGAAGAGACATAACCAACATATCCATAATCAAGTTAGGTGCTATGTGCCAAACATAGTCTTGCGGTTATGCCACGGGCCGCACATGGTCTTCCTGGTCAAGCCTGGGGCCGTTCCCTGGGTCTTACAGACAGGTGCCAAGGGCCACCCCCTGGTCTTCCATGCAAGCATCACAAAGATGACTATACAAACTATTCTATTAGGCTATTTCGCATATAGTGTGCCAGGAGCCACCCCCTGGTCTTTCATACAATAGCATACAGTGCGCCAGGAGCCGCTTCCTGGTCTTTCATACATATTGCCTAGGGCTAACCCCCGGGTCTTCCTATCATACATAATAACATACTGTGTGCCAGGAGCCGCCTCCTGGTCTTTCATGCATATTGCCTAGGGCTAACCCCCGGGTCTTCCTACCATACGTAGACTAAATGGGCCGGCATTGTGGCCGTAGACCCATACAAACAGTGAGGAGACTCACCTCGCACTGCTGAACTTGCTGGTAATCCCTCTAGCCGCTGTCCAACCACTTCCTGAACCGCTGCTCCACTAGCTCTCCGAGCTACTAATACCAATAAAACACTTAGTTCCAAACTGAACTCTAGAAGTCAACTAAGTCAACTCTGGTCAAAGTCAACCTTCCAGGTCAACCCTACTCGCCGAGTCTGCCTACTGACTCGCCGAGTTCATACGCTCAGAATCCTTTCATTCGCGACTCGACTCATATTAACAACATTTTATCATACTTTTTGAACAACCATAGAAATCAGGTGATATATTGGGTTTAAATATGTAAGAATACATATGTATATTTGCTTTCCTTCGTGAGTAGGCTTGCACATCCCTTCCACATGTCGAAGCAAATTCATAAAGAAATTAACATACAATGAGGTTTTTTTATTTAAATCATAAAAAGAACAGCAAATTCATAAACAAACTTACAAATTATGGGGTTGATTATTGATAATGATTTGTCTATGAATATTATTATTTTACTTCAACCAAGGAAAAGCCATTTGATGATCTTCGTGGAGAATGTATATATTTTTTAATTAGAAAGACATTTTGTTACTTATCTAAATATTTTTAATAAATATGTTACAAACTACATTCATTTATTAAAAAATAAATCGATCTGGTTTTTTAAAATCCGTCAACCCGACCAACAGATAGGTATAACACTAGTTATAAGTGTTTTCCATAAGTTTTACTTATACCTCAATCCATGTACTTTGAAACATATGATTGTTTAGTAAGATAGATTAACTCGAGACATGGTAAACTTAATTTCAAATATATTGTGAGCTTGGAAGTTATAGAATACAACTGATAAATTAATTTGTGATGTTTCTGCCAAAACCAACTAACACATTTATTGTCTTTCCTGTCAAAATAAAAACCGAAATTATCTAAGCATTTCAAGACAGGATTGACATTATCACATGGCCATATTATTCAATGGAACATTATTGACATATTAAAGACTAATCAATTGGGTCATTTCCGAATGTTTAAGTAATTGTTGACATGTTAAAGACTAATCAAACATAATTGTTATTGAAATTGATTCCAATCAAATCTTTTGTAATTGGTTTCAGGTTTAATTTTGTTATCTTGAACCATATATTAGGTGGATGTATTTTATAGAAAACAATTAAGTATTTACACTATTAAATTTTCATTAGTTATTGCCTTAAGATTTTCTTATATTATTTTTAGCATAAATGAGATGTTATCGCATGGGAGGGCCACAATATTTTGTAGATGCAACAGAACACCACTAGATCCATCCGATTCGACATATTATAACAATGTACTTTTAAAGGGTTAAAAACCATTTTCGAAACTGGTTATTGTCACTGTAACCCAATGAACTTTCGGGTTTTAGTTTAAATGGTCCCTAATGATATTTTTTTGCATTATAAGGGAATGAATTCCACTTTTATCAGCTAGTTTCGTCAGGTTACCTGTGATGTAATCATGCCAAGAAGAATGCTACGTAGGAAATAGTATGTTGGTTTGTAATTAAATACCTCTATATCCATCCTAGTCAGCATCAATCTTGGGGACCAAGATTGATACTGGTCCCTTTGAATATACCACCACCACCACTGTCAGCACCAACACCACCACTGTCATCGGCATCTACCACCACCACCACCAACAACAACCACCGCCTTCTTCCGATCATCTCATTCCCTTCTTCCACTATAACTGGTTTTTCTTTCTAAGATTGATGTTGACAACCAGGTAATTTGAGAAACTTACAACTTTCATCGAGTCGAAACCCTATTGCCTTCCTTGAGGACTTTTATCGAACATGTGGCATATGCATATATAGTTTACCGTTTTCTAAGAGGAACAACAAGTACATATACATACATCGTTTCTGGTGGATTCAAAACGAAAATGACACATATCTAAGGATTAACATCATATATAATAAGGAAAAACAAACATGATCTGCTTTCACAATCTTGTGACTGCCAATGGGACTAGGGTTCGAGAAGGTTGTGACGTGGTGGCCCAATTGGACCACCAAGGATGCTTGTAACAGGTTGCAGGAAGTAAAATTCATTGTCACTTTAAAGAAGATCATGTGAATCAAACTTTACCAATGAAGTATCTAGTAGGTTGGTGGATGATGCCTTCACAAAACAACCCTTCACAATTTATGTAAAAACAATCATTTCATTGTACAATTTCTCTTCAAAATTTTCTATATCGTTAAACTTTAGGGTAGATACATACAATGGATAATCCCAGAGCATCGAAGAAACCACCAGAATCTAATGCCTCTGATCAACATGAACACCCCTCGAGTGACGCCGAAACCCACAACGAAGTCATCGTCAAAATCGACAGTAGCGATAGGAATAATTCTACCCGTTTGATGCATTTGAACTCTGATAGTCCTGATAGAGGCGTGATTAACAACGATTACATTTATACGAATCATAGAGCTTCAAATTCAAAGCAATCGTATGATACCGATGATTCAGATGAAGGAAAGCATTGTTTTGTGCGTAATTGAGAACAAAAATGGATCGGAGGCAATGGATAACTAGCCGGCTATTATTGGTGGAGGAATTGATGGCAGCAGGCAACAACGGATTACAAGGATTTCACTTAATTTCCCGCCTTTTAATTTCCTTTGGTTTTGCTGATGATTTTTTTTTGTTCTCGTTATTCTATAGTTATTTAACTAAATGATTCCAAATTGTACTATGATTTTGTGTGTCTTCCTCGTTCCTCCCGATCGGATTTCAAGAGGCAAAAGGGATTACCATAGCCAGCAAGGAAGAAGAAGACAGGTAGCAAGTGAGGTGGTTTTATTTTAACGACTTGTCAAATGGTACCTGATGAGTAGGAAGGGGTTCACCGGGTGACCCCTTCATATTTTTCCTAATGGCATTTTAAAACCTTAAAATATGAATTCATTCCCTTATAATACAAAAAATATCAGAAATGACCGTTTAAACCAAAACTAATAAGTTTGTTGGACTACAATAACAATAACCCTTTTGAAAACCCTACGACACTTTACATAAACAACAAATTGAAGATAAATGGATGAAAACAATATTTTTTCACAAAATGAAAAAGCAAAGGGTTTATGAGTTTGAAAACCGGGTTTCTAAATTGTTTTTTTAAACCGGTTTCAGTTTTAAAATCCTCAAACCGATAATGGACCGGTTTCAACCAACCACTTCCTAAATCAGTTTTGAATCGGTTTGAAAACTTGTTTTGGATCGTGAATCTATGTGCACCTCAACTTAGGATGGTCACATCAATGGATTAATGAAAACTCAAATTCAAATTGACTTCGTTTTTTAAAGTAGATAAAATTGCAAAAAAAGTCCCTGTGGTATGCCTTTTTTTGGGGTTTTAGTCCAAACCTCGACTTTTTTAGATTGGTGGTCCTTTTGGGCTGGTTTCTTTGCGTTTTTGGTCTCTCAGTAAACTGAAAAGACTATTATGCCCTTTCTGATATATTTTTTTTATGCTTTTTCTATTTAATTTAAATGAAAAAGAAAATAATTACCTAATTTGGGGCCCACATCTCTCTCTCTCTCTCTCTCTCTCTCTCTCTCTCTCTCTTTCTCTCCTTTGACGATTGTTTTTCTCCCCCGATCAAACCTTGAAACCACTATTTTCTGATGAAAATGGAAGCTGTAAACAAAAATAAGAACCTAAATCAACAACCCAAATCTCGAACCCATTTCTCCTTCACACCCAAAGCTTTGATGAGATAAACCAGCTCCAAACACCCTTCTTTTCATTCAATTGTTGTTGCCATCAAGAAAAAGAACAGGAGGCAGTTGCCTCTTCTACTTCGCCTGTCTTCTCCTTCGCCTGTCTTCTCCTTCGTTTCCTGTTTATGAAATGTGTGACTCGTCTTGAAGATCGGAAAACAGAGACTGGTTCGAGGCAACAACCCCTTGTTCCTCCACCCTTTTACCTGTCGACCGTAGTCACTGAACTCCCCCTGAAGACTATTGCGATCGTTGCTGCCTTTCCCCCTTTCATCCTCCATTTCTTCTTCGTTCCCTGGCCTGAACCCACCACCGAAGTGGGTGTTTCCTCGGAGCAAACATCGGAGTCGGCAGCCCCTTTTTGATTCCCCACCTTCGCACCTTCCTTCTGAGACAGAAGAAGCGCAGGAGCTGAAGGCGGTGACAGGCTCGAAGATGATTGAAGCATCGAAGGTGATGTCAATATGGTTGCTCCGTTGCTCCTCTCGAATGCTTTCCCTTTTTGTTGTCGGCTGTGGAGGTGAGTAGCACACGAAGTGAACGGAGGGTGTTTGGGCTATTTGATCGACGGGAAAGAAAATGAAGGAGAAAGGGAGTTGCAGAGGTGGTGGCAGCCACCAGTTCTTCTTCCCTTGCTGGTGGTATCCAAGAGAGAGAGAGAGAGAGAGAGAGAGAAAGAGAGAGAGAGAGAGAGAGAGGTGGGCCCATTTTTATATTTAATAATAATAATAATTTTAAAAATAGAAAGAAAAATAAAAACTAAATTTATTAAGGGTATAATAGTCTTTTTAGTTTGGACATGGACCAAAACTGCATGTAAACCAGCCCAAAAGGACCATCAATCCAAAAAAATCGAGGTTTAGACTAAAACCCCAAAAAAATATACCACAGTGACCATTTTTGCAATTTTGTCTTTAAAATATAGATATGTATTATCCGAACTAAACTAAAATCGTATCAAAATCAACCGAATTACAATTTAGTTGTTTAAAGACCAAGAATAGAATAAATATATAAAAGTAAAAAGCATCGTCTACATTCAAATAATCAAAAAAGAAGGCCATCTTAATGCCAATTTCCATTAAAAATCAACAACTAGGCCTACATAATAATGGACAAAAAGGAATAAAATATCTTTACAATCAAACAACTTTAAATAAAGCCGTTCAATAATTGAGGAAAAAGAAATTTTAATTTAAAAAAATTCAAAGGTATTGTGTAATTACTCTCTACCAACTTTCTTCAAATTCATGGATAAGGCTATGTTTGGCGTACTAGCTGAAAAGCTAGCTGATAGCTGAAAAGCTAGCTGTTAAATAAAAAGCTAGCTGATAAAAAATAATGTTTGGTAAAATTAGCTGAAATATATAAAATTACATAAAAGGACATATAATAGTATGTGTTTCTATAATTAATTAAGGAGTGTATTTGGAAATTTTAAAAAAGCTCCTAAAAAGCTAGTCTAAGTAGCTTTTCAAAAAGCTAGCTTATAAGCTACTTTTTGGCTTACCAAATACGACAACATAAAAAAAACTCGAAAAATAAGCTAGCTTATCAGCTAGTTGTGACGCGTCAAACACAGCCTAAACTTCACGGCTTGTACAAGCGAATTATCAACATTATATCATTTAATAAACCAAACAAATAAATCAACATTAAACGGATTTTATCCAAAACAACAAACTGCCATACACGCGCTGTAAAACGCGAGTGATTAAACAGTGTTCCTTTCTTTTCTACGGATTTCCTGTAACTTCTATATATTTTCTGATCCGCTTCCATTTCCAATAACCGTCGATCATTCTCTCAGACAACCAAGCGCCATAACCACGGCGATGACGATAAGCATTTTCGATCATGAAGTCCCCGACGATACTCACGACTACTACGACGTCGAATTCTTCGAAGACTCCATTTTAACCCTAGTCACAGACACACCATCCTTCGTCGACATGTGGATCTCCGACATCGAACGCATCCACCACCGCCGTCTCCACCGCCTCGTCGTCGGCCTGGACGTTGAATGGCGTCCTAGCTACAGCCGCTACGAAAACCCCGTGGCCACTCTCCAACTCTGCGTCGGTCGCCGCTGCCTGATTTTTCAAATCCTCCGGGCTCCTGCAATCCCTTGGTCACTCAAAAACTTCCTTCGCAATCCCTCCTACACCTTCTCCGGCGTCGGAATTAAGAGCGACGTGGAGAAGCTTGAAGCGCGTTACAACCTGGAGGTTTCGAATACGGCCGATTTAAGGTTTATGGCTGCTGAGGAGTTCAATCAGGGGGAACTTAGGAATGCAGGGTTGAAGGGATTGTCGAAAAGGGTGCTTGGGAAGGAGTTGAACAAACCGAAGGCTGTTACGATGAGCAGTTGGGATGATCAATGGCTGAGTCCGGCGCAGGTGCAGTATGCTTGCATCGATGCTTTCTTGAGTTTTGAGATTGGGAGGATCTTGATTACCGGCGATTTCGACTGATTCGAACTCAAATCCGCAATAGATCTAAGGTACTGTTTCGTAAAAGTAGATTAGGGTTGTTAGTATTTCATGTATCGTGGATGTTGATCGTTAGATGAATAGGGATTTGCGTTTACAAAACGATCCCCTGTAGGGTTTGGATCTATGTCTTACTTCTTTAGTGTTAATTGAATGAATGAATTTCGAAAGATTTGGTTCAGATTACTTACAATCTCCATCTCCATTTGAATATTAAAGTTAATTTGATCAATTATTGGGGAGTTGATCTTCGATTACAAGATTCTTATGAATGTAGTACCCAAAATCTCGCAAGTATGTTTTGGTTGATGTGTTTATATTTGGTTTAATCTTTCAATCATGGACTTCAGTTGAAATCTCAATATGCTACTATATTATTAACTATTTGATTGTTTTTTGTGACAAAACCCTTTGATTTAATAGACCTACATTGCAACTAAGAGACAAACGATGTTAAAGCTAGCTAAATAATTGTATAAAAATGAGTTATATTTGATAACTACTAAAATGCCTTGTAACAACTTGAAAGGACGACATTATATAGTGTTGGAATATTTTGTTGTGTCAAAACTCAAAACTAAGAAAAAGACAAAACATTGAAAAAAATCAAAGATGAAAAATTGAAAAATAAGAACATTAGGATAATCTTGGCGCTCTGTCGAGCCATTATTACGAAAGGAAAATGAGGCAACGCCAGTTTCATTTCCACACGCAGTCTTTTTTTTTTTTTCTATGACTAGAGTAGAGGCTAAAGCCCATTATTATTTGTTTTTGCATGGCAGCATAGTACATGTACGTCTTTCAATAAATATAGTATATGCGCAAGAAACACATAAGAATTTTTTTTTCATCGTTGAAACAAATAAAAAAATATCTATTTATTTACATGTAAGTTATTTTTTTTATTAAAAAAGTACCTATTTGTTTACATTCAAGTTATTTTCTTTTAGATAATTTGGACATACCCAAAACCAAAACAACATATAAAAGAAAAACTTATATAGTTGAGCCATTATGTAATTTTTAAGTTGTTTACCCCTTTATGACAGGATTTAATTTTCAGTTTTTCACTCTTTCCTTTCATTTCCACACTCGCATTCCACAATGTCACTCGACCACGTATTCTTTAAGAATACCGTAACATTGATCTTCCGCATTTCTAATTCCTACTCTTTCAACGTATTTAATGTTTAAACCATACACCAAACAACACATTTACAACCTTTAACCCCCAAAATTTGATTCAATCTCGACATGAAATAAACAAACTAACACGTATGGAAAACTGTATTAGAAATACTTTCAATCTAATTATGAGATAGTTGTAAAATAATTTGTATTTGTAACTTAGATGTAAATTATTTGTTGTGTATGGTAATTTGTGCATAATTGGAAAGCTAAAGAATGTTTGCATCGTTGAGGTAGCTTGTAGGGACTAAAGCTGAACCGAAGATCACTTCATATCATCTTTGTAACATCCATTTTTTTTTATAAAACATAGATCACTTCATATCATCTTTGTAACATCCATTTTTTTTATAAAACAAAATATATGGTTTTAAAACATTTTCTAACTTCTACCCATATTTATCAAAATATGCTCCCAAAACTATAAATTATGTTTGTTTCAAGGGACAATGACTTAAAAAGGTAACATATTTTTAGGCTTGTACACATTTAGTCATTGATTTTTTTTTGTCCAAATTTTCCATTGAACTTGTTAAACTGTTCAAAAAACATCCTTATGACCTAGTATCGGAGGTTTAGCCGGTTTCCGGCGTTCTTGTGAGCTCCGGTGAGACTCCGGCCATCTTTTCCGGTGAGTCTCTGATCAAAAACACCAAAAAAACACATACATAAACAAAAAACACCTAGATTCATGTGTTTTCCTCAAGAAATTCTTCAACCCCTTCAATCCAAATTGAACATCTTCAAGAACAACTAGATCTGAAAAATGAGTTCATCATAAATGTTTTCACATTTGCGTGTGAGTGTGTGTTTGTTAGATCTGAACAAAAATTCTCCAACCCTTCAGTCGGTGTGTATGTGTGGGTTTGTTAGATCAGAAAACACATACACAATCATGTTCATCCCTTCAAACCCTTCAACCTAAAAATCATAAACCCATAAATCCTTCAACCACTTCAATCCAAATCTGATCATCTTTAAGAACAAATAGATAAGAAAAAACGAGTTCATCGATGTGTGTGTGTTCATCTTCTTCCCATAAATCAAAAGATCTTCAACCGAAGTTATGTTTTTGAGTTATAGTTTATTTATTTATTTTCGATTTCCAGGTCGTTAGATTCTACCGAAATCGTTTTTCAAATCCAAAAAACAAATCCATAAGTGTGTTCATCTTCCTTCCAAAAACGAAATCTAGAAGTGTTCATATGAAAAGTTTGAAGCTCGAAAACCATGTTTCCATTTTTGTTCAAGAACACACTAAACTCAAATCTGAAATCAAATTCATATAAGAAATCGAGAATCATGAGTGTTTGTATGTTCTTGAACAGATGAAGATGACTTTTGGGTTTGTGTCCGTGTACTTCATCATATTTGTGTTCCTGTTCTTCATCAGATCTAAAAACCGACATAAATCTTTTTTTGTTTGTGTTCTTGAAGGTCTGATGAGCTTTAAGATGAACACGAGTTAGGGTTTTCAAACCCATAAATCGAGCTTGAAGATGAACTTGAATCTGGAATATATATGATTTGTGTTAATACCCCAAAAATGATTTCATGTTCGATTTTTGAATATTTGGGTTCGTGTTCTCATCTAACATTTCAAAAATTGTTTTTAGAGTGAGAAATTGTGATGTGTGTTTTTGAGTTTGAACAAAAGAAGATGAAGATGAAGAATTGATTTCTGGGTTTGAGTTCTTGAGTTTGAAAATCGAACACCCACATGGGTGTATGTTCGAAATTTGTTTAGATCTAACAAAGAGACATAAGGAGAGAACATACCTGAGTTCTTGAGTTCGCCGGAAAAATCATGTTCGCCGGAGAAGATGACCGGAGCTTTGTCGGAGCAGTCAAATACGCCGGAAACCGGCTAAACCTACTACTGCGGGTTATAAGGATGTTTTTTGAACAGTTCAACAAGTTCAATGGGAACATATGGACAAAAAAGTCACTGACTAAATATGTACAAAACGAAAAATAGATTACCCTTTTAAGTCATTATCCATTGTTTCAACCACAAACCAACACCGAGTATTACAACTAATACAAAACAAAGCCATATAAAGTAGTGAATTTTGATACATTATATCAACTATGTCAAATTTCTATTCTCAGAAAGTCCACTGCTATCCATATTATCATAATCTTTTAGTCCTTCATATCTGAACCTGGAATACATGTCATTTAAATAAAACATATGTAAAACACTACTGTCTTGTGAGCTACATGAGTTTAGACACGAAATCATTATCAAACATTCAATAAAACCTTTTATTTCCACATACGTATGTTTTAACATATATACACAAGCCGCAAAATCATAAACATGATCCAACCTTACGGGCTTCCGGTATCATATTTTCAAGTTCGCACAAGGTCCTTGGGTCATGTACCGATCAAGTCATTATTAAATGTTTGATAAAAATCTTTCATTTCAACATACTTCATGTAATGTATTTTATATGTGTAATGCATGATCATAATCAACATAAACCTTATGGGCCTTCATGTATCCTGCCTTCGTATTAATATACAATCCTTTGGTCTTACCGATCCAGACCTTAAGGTGATTCCTAGAAATAATACCCTATCAACCCTTACCTAAATAGGAAGAACAAATCAACACATTAAGGTATCCCTCCACCTACCTCGCAAGAGTCCCGATATAGTCATCCCTTATTTCCTTCTCAGGATATTGGAATATTTGAAACACTACTATATACTATGTAATCGCATCCAATGTATCTATGCTCATCATTTTTCTTTTTGTGACTCAATCACACACAATTTTCGTGTTATATTTAGCAATCGATATTGACTTGCATAATATAAAAAAAATTATCAAATCAAGTATTACCAAATTTAAAACATTTAACATAAGCTCATATCAAACTTTTGTCTTTCATAAGTACATAAAACCAATACCTACTCTTGTAAAGAGTTCATTTATTCAAGTCATTTACTTTTTTCCAAACTTTTAATCTTTCAAATTCACATATATTCAATACCTACTCTTATAAAGAATTCATTTAGTTTTCAAAACTTTAGCTTATTCTTTTTAAAAGGGTAGTGTGTGGGGATATGGGTAGGGATGAGTGAAGCAAGCCAACCGATAAGTTAAATTTGCAAAAAAAATTATAAACTTAGTGACTTAATTGAAAAAAAAAATAATACGGTGTCAAAAATCAAAATGTGTGTAAACCTAGTGTCTTATATATTTTTTTCCCTTTTTAATTAACAAGCTTACTAAAAAAAATTAAATTAAAAATCTTTCACTCTATGTTTTTTTATTTTTCAAAAGCTTTTTAGTTTGAGAAAAATATTATAAAAACTTATATTGTGGATGTTTTATGGAAACTAATAGTTATACCCTCGGTCTATATATACAAAACAAAATTTTTACCTTGAGGCTTAGCATATGGTTTGATTTAGTGTGTTTTTTTTTTCTAAAATCTTGGTTTGTAGAAAAAATATTGTTGTAGTTTGGTTTTCAGGTTTTGATTTCTTAGGTTAAACAAGATCGCTTTTCGGGGTTTTATGGTTTTTTTTAATTATATTTTTACATCAATTTGTTAATAAAAGCTGAAAAGAATAATATATATATATATATATATATATATATATATATATATATATATATGTATATATATATTACAGAAAGACCAGGTTAAATATAAATTAATTGGAATAATCTTTTTTGAAAAGAGCAAAAGGAAAAAGAGACAAAACACATATTTGGAAGGATATTTGTTGTGGTGATACCCATTTGAAAGAGAGCTTTCCTAATTTTTATGTTA